GGTAAAAACCTTGTTTGGATGGGGGGCTGAGCAGCCTGCTCTGGCTGAAGGTGTCCCTGCTCACTGCAGGACTAAAAGGCCTTTGCAGGTCCCTTCCAGCCCAAGGCATTCCATGGTTTGGGAATTCCATGATTCCATGAGGCAGGACTGCCTATCCCAGGCAGGATGAGTTCCGTGGATCAGGCTGCTCAGCACTCACAGCCTCCACTAACCCCTCTTGGTTCAGGACTGAACCAAACGAAATCGCTGCCCTCCAAAATTTCGAGTTGATTTTTCAAGGTGCCTGAACCTGCGTAAAACCCAGAGTCATCCCCATCTCCTGAGCCAGGAAATGAGATTAAAGCAGCCTCCGAGCTCACCTGGCTCCATTTCACATCCCCAGCATTGCCTGAACACCTGCCCCTTCTCTCTCCAGCAGCTATAAAAATATCTGCCAACTTCTGGCTTTTATTCTGATGGGACTTGCTCTGGCAGGCACCAGATAACAGAGCCAGGGAAGGGGTGCTGGGAGAAGAGAGGCCAATTTCGTGCCATTAAGAGGTGGCAGGGACGTTCCTGAGTGCTCAGACCCACAGTCCAGAGGGACTTGGCAGCTCTGCCCCATCTCCAGCCCCGGACACACCCCAGGGCTCTCCTCTGCCTTCCAGCACCTTTCCCATTCCCTTGCAGAAATTCCAGTTAATGAATCCAGCTTCTGGCTATGAAAAATGGTGAGGGACCATGGGGTATTTTGGGGACCCATTTCAGCACAGATGGAAGCAAAGGGGAATTACTTTCTGAGGCTGGAAAATCCTTGTTTAGGGAGAAAACCCAAATCCCAGCTCCTCCAACCACAGCAGCAAGTCCAGTACTGAACAAACTCCTTTATTTCACATCCTAAGGCAAAAATCAGACTTCTTTTCTCAGACTTTTCAATTAAACAACTTCTTCAGCCAAACAAGAACCATCTGCCCTCTCACACCTCTGCTGGGACTGGGGATCTGCACTCCGAGGGTGATGGATTGAGCACGGAGCCCGCAGAGCCCCTGACCTCCCAACCTCCAGCTTAAAACCAGGCAAATCCTTTGCAAATGGATGATTTTCATCTGCTCAATAACAGCCCGGTGTCCTCTTGGCTTCTCCACACGCTGATGCAACCGAGTTTTTCCTGAAGTGTGGCGGGATGCGGGTGCGGGGGCGATAATGAAGGATGAATTACGGGCATGAGATAATCATCCATAGGATGAAGTCATCTGAGGACAGGCTCGGACATATATATTTCATTGTGAAAGACCTCCTTTATTCCCACTAATGGAACGAATTAAATCAGCCAAGCTGAATAAAACTCTCACGTCCCAAGACGTAACCAACGCACTTAAAAGTTCTCTGTTCCTCTGGGGCAATCCAATCACTCATGGCTGAGCCTTGGGAAAGTGGAGGTGGGGAGTGAGGACAGAGTTCAGGAATCCAGCAGGTGACAGGAATCCAGCACTGTGTATTTCCCTGTGGCATCCTGCACACAGATCCTGAGCAGATTTTTGGGAGTGACCTCACAGCCTGGGATGGATTTGAGCCACGTCCAGGGGAGCTGCCCTTGGGACAGGTGTCAGGACAACGTGTGCCACCCATTTTCCAGGAGAATTGGGGCTGATTTCATTCACACACTTTATCCTTCACCTCAGGGCACCTGAAATAACCACACCTGGGCCCTTGCCTGCAGCACTGCAACACCTCCACATCTCCAAGCACACAAATAAAAATCTTATCACCACTGAGCGACTCAGTGCTGGGTGAAACCCAGGTACAACGTCACTGCTCCAGCTTTTCCCTCGCCTGTACCACCCAGGAGCATTCCCAGCTCGTGGGAAGGCAGGCAAGGCTGCAGGAACTGCATTTTTCCTCCAGCCAGCATAAACAGCATGATGGAAAAATAATACCTAGATGGCCACTGGCAGACAGAGCAGAGACATTTATTTATTCTTGATCACAAACAATGTCCTGCATTGACAAGCTGAATGAAGGGCACTTCACTGATTTATTAGACCTAATAAGAACCAGACCTCTCGGGATGAAATACAAGATTGATTTTTAGTGGTGAGCCTTGCTGCCATCCCAGGCGCTGGGCTCAGGCTGATGAGATGGAACCAGGCGTGCACAGGGGCTGACACAGCTCTGCTGGGGCAGGGGGATGAACGGGAGGAGTGGCAGGGGGAAGGGGAGATGGGATGGAAATGGGGAAATAACAGCCCTGCATGATGAGGGTTCCTCTTTTCTCCCTCCATCCTCCTCTCTCCCAATCAGGCTGTGGGTCTCAAGAGCAGCAAAGCACTGGGAAGTTTAAGGAATGGAATTCCTGGGAAAGCTCTGAGTCAGACTTTTCCCATGAATCTGCCTTCCAGAGGAGCCCCTTGGACCACAGCAAGTGCAATTTCCACAGCAGCCCCAGCATCTCCCAGCACACCACACTGGCTGAGTTCTGTGGATGCCGTTTTCCATCAGGAAAAAGACAACCAGCACAGCAGTGCTTAGCTTGAGGCCCTATTAATAGCAGTTCTAATTATATGGCTGCAAATTTAATTCATGGCAATGATTAGTGTCAAAATCAAAGGCATCACACATCAATATTGATAGAATTGTATGAAGCCCATAAACAGAACAAGCGAGCTGACACATCTCCCCCCAGCACTTAGTTGCTGTTAACTGTTGCATTAATGTCCCTTCTCATTTTGCTTGATGGAAATGGTTTTATTAGAGGAATCCACGATTCTGAGTGGTTGTTTCTCCAAAGTGAGCCCCTTTTCCCTTCTTCCCATAGGCAGGAGCCTGAGGTGCTTTGGAAGGAGAGCAGGAGGGAGAATTTCATCCCTTGTGCCTGTGCTAGAGCCCAAGGGCCACAGCTTCAGCAACATTTGCTTCTCACCCACTTCGAGACAATTCCTGGGGAGCAGAACCAGCAGGAGCTGGGAATGTGGCAGGAGCAGTGAGGTGAAGAGCTGAAGGCAGGAGGACACCAGTGAGACCACCAGGAGCTTCCAGTAAGGAATTCTCACTGGGGGAGCACAGGCAAACCTGAAAGATTCCGGAGCCATCTCCCTGACTTTGCTCCAGCTACACAAAAATGCCTTCCCTGAAAGCCCAGACGGAGCCAGCAGCTTGTTTCCAAAGGAAATCAGCAGCTGTGGGCGAGGGAATAGGTGTGACAAAGCTTTCAGACATTAATTGTGGGGGTAGATCTGAGACGGAGGAGGACACGAAGGAGATCAGGTGGAAAAGGCGTCTCCACAAATCCCTGACACTTGCAGAAGTGCTGAGCATTTCCACCATTGTTTCACAGGTGGGGAAGGAGAGGTAAGGAGAGTCCTGAGCATCCCGAGCACTCCTGACTTCGAGACATGTCTGGTTATCTTGGAACAGGCACAAAATCCGCAGACAACCTGTTAACTTCCCCCAGGTCTCACCTCCTCTGCAGCCAGAGCCCCTCGGCTCAGTGCAGAGCTGCTTCCCACGCCTCACCTGGGCTCCCTCGGGCCATGGGAAAGATAATCCCACGTGTCAAATGAGGGAAAATCTGCTAAAGGTGTAGACAGAGCTGTGAGAGAGGAAACAGCAACATCCTCAGCCCCACACAGGGGAGCACAGGACCACGATTGTTCCAGTTAATTACAGGGGGATGGATCCCATCAGCTGCTGTTAAATATGGGCAGATGCCATGAAAGCCTGCCTGCGGTGAATGTCTGGGATGAACTGACTCCAGAGAGGGGCCAGTTCTCATCCAACAGATGAAGGATTGCAGGTGAAGGATTCCACAGCCCTCCCTCTGGACATCGGAGCATGAATAGATTAACTTTGCATCACAAAGTGTTCGGTGTAGACTAACACCAGGAATTAAACCGTGCTGGAGACACTGCTGCTTCTGTAATCCTTCATAATTCATGGAACAAGCCCACAAATACCTCGTGTGCAGGCACGGGCCCTTGGTTACTGCTGCCTCTGAATGAGGAGCCTCCCCTGTCCCCAAACCCTGCACACAGCGAGCCCAGGCTGCATCTCAGGCTGCATCTCAGGCTGCATTCCTGCTGCATCCCTGCTGCATCCCTGCTGCATCCCTGCCTGCATCCCTGCCTGCATCCCTACTGCATTCCTGCCTGCATCCCCAGCTCTGAGCTTGGCACATGGTTTGGGATGTGCTGAGGGCTCCTCTTGCTTCCATTTCGTCCCAAATCCCGGCTCTCCCCTGTGCCACGGCACGGGAAGCTGGGAAGTGAAGGGCTCTGCTTTACAAGCTCCCTCTCCCCCACGTTCAAAATTGCCCCACTGACACCCGAGAGGCACCAGGGAGGCACCTAATTTACTACTACTCAGCACTTGTAAAGTGCTGAATGAATATTAATGAACTGATGTAATTAAAATGATGCAGACATTCAAGTGTAGTATCTGCCTGTCCTTGTATCTTCCTGGATAGATGAGGAAGAAATTCCCTGCTGCTTAAGGACTCAAAAAATTAACAGCCTGCTGTTGATTACATTTGTTAACTCTTTCCTTGGCATGAAGGAGCAGGGGCTGCATTTAACAGGTTCACCTAATGCTCTCATTTAGAGCTGAGGTTAATTGGAAGGGTCTCAGCTTGCCAGAGCTGCAGCTCCAAGGCTGATTTTTCTGGAGCTGGATCAGACCCACTGCTGAGCTGCAGCTCCAGCTCTAAAGGCCAACAAGGGCTCTCACACACCTCTGTTTACACCCCAAAGCCACTTCCCAACTTATTTTAAATACAGAGCTCCTCAGAGCATTCCCTTCCAACTCAGAATATTCTGTGATTTTGTGACTCAGACGTGGGGAAATCCCAGCTGGACTTCAAAGGTTTAAAAGTCATTCCAGGTCAGGTTGGACAGGGCTTGGAGCAGCCTGTGCTGGTGGAAGGTGTCCTTGCCCATGTCCCTTCCAACCCCAAACATTCTGTGACTCTCTACCAAAGCCCTCCTCAATGTTTGTGATGCAGAGGACAAGGAATGTTCCAGGGCTGATCAATCATCCAGCAGGAGGGTAGAGGGAAGCAGGAGGACGATGCCCTGAGGCTTGGTTTCAAAAGCAGCCACATTAACCCATTCCTATCTCTCCATGACCAAAATCCTGCCAGCACCAGCAGCTCCAAAGGCTTTTTACTCACAGTCTTCTACATCAGCTGCAGAAGGACTGCTGGGAAACAAAAGTATTGCAAGATTTCCATCTGATCTCCTTTGGTTCCTTTCCCAGGACCATCCTGCAGCAGCTTCACCTTTCCCAAAACCTGGCACTTCAAAAACCAACCACACTGACAACACTGAGAGCTGAGCTCTGCCTCTCCAACACCAGGCTCTGACCCAAACCTTCCATTCCCACTCCTGCGACACTCCCAGTGAGACACAGCAGCAGTGACACACCCCAGAGCATCCTGAGAGAGACAAAAGCCAGCTCCTGGCTCCCCACACCCAGACAAGCCTTACCTTCTTCAGCCTGCCCGTCTTGGTGCCCACAAAGACCACGCTGTAGCCGTTGTAGACGTAGGAAGCCACGGAGGTCATGCGGTCACGGCTGGAGGTGAAGAGTGTCACCCCGTCCACGGGCACCGAGCCCCCCAGGGGCTGGTTGATGTCGAGCCCACAGAAGTTGTCATCGATGGGGACTGGCTGGAAAGACAAAGTTTGGGGCAGCTGTGAGTGAAGCAGAGCCCAGGGCAGCCCCACACACTCGGAGGAGTGCTGGCAGCAGGATGGGGGCCACCAATGTGCCACCCCCTGCCAGCTCCAGACACCTTCCCCAGGGCTCCTGCAGCTTCCAGAGCCCTGGGTTGGGAGTGCCAAAGACTCCCAGGGAGCTGCAGACCTTTATTCTGCCTTAACGCCATCCCTTCCCTCATTGTCATCACACTGCAGGACGAGAGCGTGGATTAAAGGGGAAGAGGGCTCTGAATTCAGGGAAACTGAGGCACAGACCGACTGATCCTACTCTGCAAACTTGTGTTCCATTGGGGCAGGGACTGATCCCGGCTCTCGAGAGCTCCCACAGCCAGCACCCAGCACATCCTTACCGCTTTGGTGCACTGGACATCCTTCCCCAGCAGCCAGTTGAGCTCCAGGTTGCCCTCTCCCTGGTAGCAGGACTGCAGGCGCTCCTTGATGTGGGCGTTGACGGTGCGGATGGGGAAGGCGCAGAGCGCCGAGTCGTCGGGGGGGTGGTGGTACTGCTTCTGGCCCTTGGAGAAGATGGCAAAGAGCACGTCCTCCTGCGCCGTGATGTTGAGGGCCCTGGCCAGCACCTCACCCGGCTTGGACAGGTAGGCAGCCTGCAGCAGCCGGTACTCCGTGTCGCCCTTGACGCAGCCGAAGGGCAGGGACACGTACGAGTGGAACTTGGGGTCGTCCTTGCACAGGCGGACGATGCGCGAGGTGTAGAAGAGGTCGCTGGCGGAGTTGATGGAGACGCCCTCGGGGGTCTCGGGCTGCACGGTCAGGAAATAAACGAAGTTGCCGCTGGCGAAGCCGTAGATGTAGAAGATGTCGAAGTGCGAAACCAGGGCCAGCGTGTCCGAGGGGATTTTGATGAGGGACGACACAAAGTCACTGTGGAGCTCGTAATCCAACATCGCCGACGACTCCGGGTCCCGGGGCAGCTTGCGGCTGGACAGGGTGGGGAAATAATCCTGCTTTCCGTCCACCGCCGTGCCGATGAAGAGCTTCCCGTCCTCACCCTCGGAGCGCACGATCACGCCGTACATGGTGCCCGTTTTGTTGACGCTGGACAGGTAATGCTCCTTCTTGTGCGAGGGCTCCACCAGGATGAAGAGGTCGTCGAGGCGCAGCAGTTTGCAGACGCCCTGGTAGAGGCTGCCGCACGCCAGCAGCCGGTTCTCGGAGTAGTCGATGATGAGCAGCTTGTTGACGTTGTTGGTGAGAGTGAGGACCTCGCTGCACGGCTGCACGATGAGGGGTGGGTAGCAGGATTTGTTGTCCTCCTCGGGACCGGTTTTGTGAGCCACCAGAATGGTCAGGTTCCCCGAAAGCTTGTAGACCCTGTTGATGGCCCCCACGTAGACGGCGCCGGTGGCCCGGTGCACCGTCAGGTGGTTGAACGTCCAGTCGCGGTTCTCCGAGTGGAAAGTGTTGAACAAGGCATTGCTGGACACGTTCCGGGACAGCGATGCCAGGAAGAGGCAGAGCAGAGCCACTGACCGGCCATCAGAGTCCGCTCCCCGAGGCCAGCTCCTCCTCTGAGCCATCCTGGGAAAGGCAAACTCCGCGTCCCCCGCGCGTGTCCTGAGCCCCGGCGATGTCCCTCACATGGTTCTGTGGAGACAAGAACCACCCAGGGCGAAGGATTAGATCCCGTGTGCCCTGCAGATAAAATTCAAAGGAGGCTTTCTAATTACACAGTCCTTGAGATAAAGGGAGGATGTCTCTAAGCACAGCAGAATTAAGCAAGTCCACAACTTATGGAGAGCAGCTCAGGCTTGATGCTTTGCCACTCGTTTCAGCCCCTGCATCTTAATTTGTGGTGGGGTTTGGCTGTTTAGAACGTGCTCTGCTCAGCCAAGGGAGGGGAGAATCAGCTCCAGCCCAAGACAAAGCCTGCAGCTCACAGCCCCGGCCATCCATCTGCAATCTTGGCTGCAAGGATGTCTCCTGCAGGGTGTGCTGCTGGAAGCAGCAGAGGAAATGAGAGCTGTTCTTTACCTTTAAACCCTCTCTGATTGAATTTGGGAACCTGAGGCAGAAACCTCGTGCAGGCAAGTTCATTGAGCACAAACACTCTGAAGGTGCTGACATCTCCCCTCAGACCCTCCCCAGAGCCAGAAGTGCCTCTCCAGCAGGTGCTTTTAGGCAGGAACTCCTTCACAAGGTACCTTCCTGCCAAAAAGCAGCTGCCACCGAGGTGGGAGCACAGGATTAGATCAGCCACCAAACCCTGCCAGCAGGGGAGACACCACCAGCCTAGAGCAGCTTGATTGACCTGACCACGCAGGTGTCCGAGTGCAGGGATGCAGAAAACCACCACAAAGTTCTCTTTTATCCCAAATGATGCATTCCAGGCTGAGCAGGCAAAGGAACCACTTCAGAGCCATCCTCAGGGTCACCCCAGCCCTGGGAAGGGGCTGAGGATGAGGCACCACCCTGCACCCATCGTGTCCCTGCAGGGCCAGGCCAGCCCCACACGCCCCATGGGAGCCCTGCCCTGTGCACTCCGATCCCCCTGCCCCGGTGCCAAGGCCGTTCCCTCACCCCCATCCCATGGCTGCTGCTGCTGGTTCGGTTTTATTTAAATTTAAAACGATTTCCAGCGCTGCAAAGCCACCCTGAGCTTGTGAGTGTCACTGCACTGCCGCTCTTTAGGCTTGTTCCTGCCAGGAGAGGCGACGGGAGCTCCTGAGAGGTGACAAAGGAGCTCTGTCCCTGCGCTGCCTCTCCGTGTCACTGACAGCACACACGGCAGCACAGCGCCTTTCTCATTCTGCTCAGGGACACATTTCCACAGCTGCTTCCCTCTCGCTGCCAGGCTCGGCTTCCCACCTTTGTCCGTCCTGGGGAGGACACGGACCCTGCCACCCCCTCTCGGTGTTTTGGGGACAGATGTGGCACAGAACAGCTGCTCCTGCTGCTGCACCAGGGGACTCCCATTGCATTTCTGAGCGAGCATCCCACCACCATTTCCTAACCCAGAATCTTTCCAAGTGGCACGGATCAAAGGTTCCCAGGGATGTGGGAGGGTCCTGTCCGTGCTGGTGACACCTGATCACAGGGCACAGGGGTCTCAGAGCAGCTCAGCCTGGAAGCCCAGAGTGCCCCAATCCTGGGACAGGGTCATCTGCAGGCTCTGGTTCCAGGGGAGCCCCAGAAGGGAGAGATCCCACAGAGAACAGCGAGGCCCTGCTGTGGAGCTCTGCACACACAATTCCCCAATTCTTAAAAAGTTCTGCTGCAAAGTGAGACAAGGACAGTGCAGCCCATGAATGCATTGAAATAATGGAACTTTACACACATCTGGGTGTGTGGGGCAGCAGCAGCTCTGCACTTTGGACCTCAGCAGTTTTAGATCTTTTCCAGCAATGTTCCCAAACCCAGCAGAGCTGTCAGCTCAAACCCAGCCCCTCTGCTGTGCCTCACAGCCAAGGTTTGCAGAGCATTTGTGAACAGTCACTGCCAGCAGCAAGAGACTTCATCCAGGGAGGAGACTCTGCCTTTCAAGCATGATGTGAACTCGACAGACCACGGCCACGAGTGCCATCCCACCCAGCCATCCCTGGGTCTGTGCCACCCCAGGGCAGGGGACAACGTGAGGGTTGAGCAGAGCTCAGCAATGCAGACACCAAACAGGCAGAGGAGCCCTCACGGGGAGCCTGGCAGGGCCAGCTGGGGCTTTGGGGAGCAATTCTTGGCTCGAAGAGCAGGGAGAGGTTGGCAGAGGTTGCCAGCTGTGGCTGCCACATCCCCAGAGTGCCCAAGGCTGGGGTTTGGAGCACCCTGGGATGGTGGGAGGTGTCCCTGCCCATGGCAGGGGTGACACTGGATGGGCTTTAAGGTCCCTTCCAACTCAAACCATCCCTGTGGAGGAGGCCAAACACCTGGGGAGTTAAACACCAGCAGAATGGATGATTTTAACTCTGATCCTTAATACCATTTGATCATTAATTTTTCCTCTCTTTCTCTCCTTTTTTTTTTTTCTGAAGAGAGTTTTTAAATACAGCCTCAGAAGCAATCTGCAGCTATTAGTAACGCAAGGTGAAAGCGAGAGTAAATTCAGGGACACAATATAAACCCAAGCAGCTGAAAGGCCTCAATTAGGCTGAAAGGAGTTATCTGGTATTTAAATAATTATTAGATTGAAGGAATAATCACAGGTCTGAGCCGATTTTTTCCCCCACTGTCATCCTAATGGAGACTATAATATTATTATTCAAATGCCCATGATTCTCATTGAGGGGGGAAGAAAAAAGGGCTCGTTTAATCTCCATGTGACGGGGCTTCAGGAGGCACCATTAGTCATTTCTCTCATTTCAGCTGTCACTCACTCACGGGCACCACAGTTTGTCATTAGTGGCATTTTGTGCAGACCAAAAAAAAAAAAAAAAGAAACAAAAACAAAACCAGGCAAAAA